ACCAGCCCTCTCCTTAAGTAACATAAAGTACAAATCCATGGTACTGATGAGTCCTTATTGAAAGGAAATAACCAGATTGTTGGCATGTTTCTATTGACAGCAGTTCTGCTGACCGTTTGCTGCATGAGAAGGAAGAAGAAGACATCTAACCCAGAGAACAACCTGAGCTATTGGAATAATGCTATTACCATGGACTACTTCAACAGGCATGCTGTAGAGTTACCAAGAGAGATCCAGTCACTGGAGACTTCAGAGGTACCTCACTTGCAGAGCTGGTGTCTGAAACCTGTAAATGATGCCATGCTGGGAGAAGGGGAGAGCAAGTCATATGAATAAAGCCTTGAAATCCCTACATATGTTCAGGGGAACAGATTTTAGGGAAAGACTCACTCCCACACACATATTAGATGGGATAAACATCTCAGCAAAACTGGATTGCCATCCTATTCCCAGCCACTGCAGATGTGTTCCATATTGCTGCTTGGTGATGGGCTTTAACCATCTCTTGGTGAACTTGTTCCTGTGCTTCTCTTCCTTGTGAGCCTACAGCCAATGTCAAGCCATGCCATGATGGCTTAAGGAGAGCCCTTTGGTTCCCTCTTGAGAGTTCTTTGGGTTTGGCTCATTACTGACAGCCAGCCTACTGTGCATGTGCCACACACAGTAAAAAAAGGAGGCTGGTGGGAGTTAATAAAACAAAGAAATTTTCTATGTTTATGTCTCAGGAGCTGCCTGTGACTTCTCAAATACCAGTTCAGGGAATGAGTGCTCCCACTACAAAAGTAATCAGAACATTAGTATGTGGGGGAGGTTGGTGGTGTGGTGTACACTCACCAGCCTTTACTTAAGGGATCTGACTGGTTTGGTGGGATTATTCACACATGAGCAGGTGATCCTACTGATAGAAATCTATTCTCTGGCCTCAGAGACAGAGAATAATTCAGTTTAGTTCAAAGATAATTAAATCCTAGAAACAGTGAAGAGTCTGAGTTTATGCTAAAATGACTTTCAGATCAGCTAGCTGACTAGCTCATGTGACTAAATTAAAAAAAAAATAGAAAGGAACCTCTAAGATGTGATTAGACAAACAGTCACAGTCACTTCATTAACCCCACTTTGCTGGCAATCATGTTGCTCAAGCTAAGGCAGGACCTGGTCTAGCCTGCCCAGAATCAAATGTCAGGCCTATTCACATACAGGGTGGTCTTCAAAAGCTGTCTCATTTAAACCTGATCAGACTATGACTGGACTGTGGCATGCTCGGCTGGCTTGAACCCATATATGTGGCTTTCTAACCTTAAAAAGAAGTTGAAAATGCTTCTTTGAGGAGTCAAGCCCAGCTGAGAGACAGTAAACAATTGCAATGAGTCAATAAAGTGGAAAAAAATCAACCAAGAAATGTGAAAGCTCCAAATGGATTGGAAGTTTGGTGCAGCTGACTTCTGGGTCCCCAGGCTGAGAAAGAATCAGCAGACCCTCAGAGGAACTTTTCACTCACAGCTCCTCCTGCCTGACAAAGGGAGAAACCAGCTGACCAAACCCAGCTCTCCAGAGGCACAGCCCACAACACTCAGGCACCTTTGGGGGATTGGGAGGAATGCCCTGTGTGCCCATGGAGAAGGGTGTGAAGTGCTCAGTCTGCTTCTTTGTTTTTCCCCTAGGACCACCTGTCCGAGCCGCGCTCCCCGGCCAACGGCGACTACCGCGACAGCGGGATGGTCCTGGTGAACCCCTTCTGTCAGGAAACGCTCTTTGTGGGACACGAGCAAGTCTCTGAAATATGACCCCACAGCCGCCCCCATACTGCAGTTTCATCTCTACTGTCTCCAAATTATAAATAAATATATATATATTATAAATATAACCTTTGTGTAACCCTGAACTACGAGAAATGTTTTCAGCTTTTCTTTTGTCCCTCAGAATTGTCAGCCCCTTTTTTATAAGTGTGGTAAAACTTTACAGAACAAACTGTGGCTTTATAAAATAAAGGTATTTCTAAGCAAAACATCTGTCAAGTGGACTGTATCCTTTCTGTGATTCCAGTACTGCCTGAGCAGCAACTGGAGTGAGCCCTTTACTGTCCCACTTCCAGTCTGACCTCCAAAACTCTTTTATATGAGCAAGGACAAGAATGGCTCTTTTTTCCTGCATAAGTGTTTTAACCACACTACACATTGGACCTACTGCTGCTACACTTCAGCCCAATAAGCCTAGAATTATTTCCTGAAGATCAAAGAGCCTCAAAAGAAGGAATGTAGAGTGCTCCCTTCAAAGGAACAGAAAATTCCTTTCAATTTATAAAAAAATTTTGCAATCTGGTGACTAGGGACTCCCACCAATTGAATGCTGTGGCTTTGACCACATTTCCACTTCCCCACTGTTTTATTTATCTTGTGTGTTTAGACTACTGCTGCCACTGAATCAAGTCTCCTCATACCCTCTTCTCTTCTCTGGGGCTTTTCTCCCTTCGGAAGAAAACACAGAATTTTGGAGCAAAATGGCAATTCTTTCCTACCCTGTTAAGTGCTAGATTGCAGACTCTAACAGTGTTAGGGGAATAGTAAGGGTGAACAAAGCTTAAAGGATGGATTAAAAATAGATTGCTGCAAGGTGAGATTAATATGGAACATGGAATGACTTGGCCCATATTGATGCTCTCTCTTTGAGTAACCCAGAACTGTTACTGTGGGACCAATTCTCAGTTTTGCTTCTCAAATTGATTTTTTATATCATTCAGCAAGTGAAATGCTTCTGTCCTTCGAAGTCTTGTCCTCCTTCTCCCCACCTCTGGCCACCAGTTCTGCTAGACAAAGTTCTGCTTTCACTCCTCACTTCATCAGGAGCAGGCTGTGAGGGGCACTTTAGCCCCTGCTCCAGCTGGCTGCTCCCTGCCACTGCCTGCTCAGGTTTAATGCTTGGCTGCATGAAAGGGAAGTTCCAGCAGGACAGGGTTAGTGTAGCATCATTAACCATATGCCTTGTTCAAGATGAGCCACAGCTGGTACTAGAAAAGAGACTTACAGCAGTGGCACATCTCGTCCAGCTGTTCCCACTTGCTGACAGTGTCCCAGTGGCTCCTGTTGCTTGGGGCAGCATGACAACTTCACTAAATGATGGCTGGAGTCAGACCCAGACTTGGCTCAAGGGGCCACATTGCTCCTCCTTTCTCCCCATGCCACACGTGCACTTCTGCTGTGCCGAGGCACAAACCTGAATGTGGACTACAGGCTTCTGGAAGATTGTAATGTTACAGGGACTCTACTGGATATTTGTTTCTCTGCTCAGCATCAGAGAGCAATGCAGGGCTTTCTCATGAGGTGATGGGGCAGGCAGGATGACAAGGCTCTGTGTGGACACGGATGGACACTTTGGGAATAGACCTTTTCACCATGGGATAAATGCTATGCAATATGATACCTGTGATCCTCATGATCAGTTACTAAACAACCTCCTAGAAACCACTGTTTGATAAAAGAGTGAAAATTCCCTGAGGGTATTGCCAAGAGCAAAAGCAATCCCACAAGGATCTTTGCTTTTATTTACAGAGGGAGGTGGACAGAGGGAACAAGGTTACAGAAAACTAAATTCAGATATTTGGAAAAAGAGCCCATATTATTACATTTGTTTTCTGTACATGGTATTGCTTTTGCAAGGGAGATTTTCTAATTTGATACAGAGCAACTACACTGAAAACACTGTGTGAGAAACACTGTAGAATGCTTCCCATTTAACCAGTACAGTTTGCTTGGTAATCTAAAGGCAGAATACCTAAACTAGCCAAAAGTATTTGCAAAGCTGAGAGTCCTCACACAACCTGGAAATGGTGACCTGACTTTAAGCAGTCTTGCAATTCTCCAACTTAAAAAAACAAGTGAAACAAACTCCAGCCATCAACCCAGTGAGCCAGGATTAGGCACCAGTGGAAGACAGGGATTTCTGATTGTATCCTGTCTCGCCAAAGACTCACCACTGCCCCTGCACAAACCTACACTGCACTAGGGCAATGCCCAACATCAGCACATTGCAATCGTGCCTACAAAGATGCACACGGTGATCCTACACTGGAACAGCATCCTGGCTGTGAACTATCCCTGTGTGTAGGTAGAAAAAGCCAGACCTAATATTGTGTTGTGAAGGATTGCACTGTACCAGGAACACATCCTACTTATTACTTATTATTACCTATAAACTACCCACCTGATTACTAGTAGCTAAAGAATAGTGACATAAAGGAATTGCAGGGGAAATCTTCCCCTTTCCCTGCAATAAATCTCTTGGATTGCTTTGCCCTTTTCTTTTAATTCACAGTTGCCTCACTTTGTCACCACATTATGCAGGCAAAGAAGGCCTTGCTGAGCAGACAAAGTGCAATTGATAACGTGAAGTTAAACTGACTGAGAAGGGCTGGACATGAGGGTGCTTGTCCCTATAAAATCTGCTGGGCTTGTGTCAATATCCCTTGAGTGGGTAGTGAAGCCAAATTGCAGAGAAACCCAGAAGCTGCAGCAGACCTAAGGGAGCATTTGATGCTCTGCAGGGGCAAAAGGCTGGCTCGGCTCTGCTCAGCTGTGGCCCAGGTGACTCCACAGAGGTTTGGGTTTTGCTAAGTTAGGAAATGTCTTGCTGACGTAGACTATGCCTGGAGCGAGCACTGGTGTGAGAAGCAGATGTATTTGCAGTATATAACGGGATACCTGCGGCTATAAGGGTAGGAAATCATCCGGGAGTCAGCGTAGAAAACAGTGCTGGTATTTTAACACGAGCATTGTACTGAATCCCCGTCCCGCTGTCCCCGTAAACACCATTGTGCTTTTCATCTGCCACATTTGCAGCAGCAGCAGCAGGGAGATTTCCCCTGCAATGGGACTGCTGACCCAGCGGCCGCCCGGACAATGCGACGGGCGCTCCCAGGCAGCACAAAGCCCCCCTTCCAGAAAGCCGTCGCACAAAGCCGAAATCCCAGGCGAGCCCCATCCTGCTGGGCTCGGCACATCCCTGCCGCCAGTGCGGGGCCAGGCGGCCGGGCTGAGCGGCGGTGCTCGGCAGGCTGGAGCGACAACATGCCCTTGCCGAGGCGCCGGTCGTCCTTCCTGGGGCAGCAGCCCTCCACCTCGGCGGCGGAGAGCTCGGGGCCGCCCGGCCGCCGGGTGAGCGTCGGAGGCGGGGCGAGCCTGTCGAGACCCCCCGGCGTCTACGTGGGCACCGTTCCCACCGGCGGCGTGAGCAGCCTGGGCACCCGAGTGTCCCGTAGAGCCCTGGGCATCAGCAGCGTCTTCCTCCAGGGTCTCCGCAGCTCGGCCGCCGCCGTGCCCCTGGCCCCGGGGCTGGATAAGGGCAGGGGTCTCTCCTACGAAAGCCTGAATGGCTGCTTGGTGGAGTACATCGAGAAGGTGCGAGCTCTCGAGCAGGTCAACCAGGAGCTGGAGGAGCACATCAGAGTGTACCTGGACAAGAAGGCGGCCAGCGTGAGCAGCTGGGGAGCGCTGCGGGAGAACTGGGAGGCGATTTACCACCAGGTGAGCGCCGCAGCGGGACGCAGTGCGCGGGTCTTCGGCGGCTCCGGGCGGCCAGGGACCAGGCTGCTCATGAATGCCTCTGATTTCAAGGCGAGGAGCCCTAGACAGAGAGTTTAAAACCTATCTTCATGATAATTAGCATTATTATGCCTATTAATTGCCTCAGGCATCGTGCGCATGGGAGCTATTGAAGTGCACCCCAAGGCGCCGAAGTCTGGGCCGATCAGGACGGGTGGGTTTTTTTTTCCTTTATTTTTATTCTTATTTTACGTCTGTGGTTATTGCAGTGAGTATCAAAATTATTGAAAGAAATCTGCTAGGACTGAATTAGGTTGTCTTTCAACATGATATTGCAAGCACATTGAGGGGTTGTTTTTTTTTTTAATCAGCAATTCATATTTTTACATCATTCCCTTGTTGGCTTAATAACATTTTCAAAAGCTCTATTATTTTAAAATAATAATTACATGGCTACAAATTAGTGTCTCCCTTCCTTTTCTTTGCCATCACCCCAGCATCCCTTATTCCCACTTTCTCCATACGGCACAGTTATTTATTGTAGAGGTGTGAAATGGTGTCTGCATTGACCTCATGGACAGGAAGGATTTGCTTTTGTTGAGGGGTTGTTTTTTTTTTTAATCAGCAATTCATATTTTTACATCATTCCCTTGTTGGCTTAATAACATTTTCAAAAGCTCTATTATTTTAAAATAATAATTACATGGCTACAAATGAGTGGCTCCCTTCCTTTTCTTTGCCATCACCCCAGCATCCTTTATTCCCACCTTCTCCATACGACACAGTTATTTATTGTAGGGGTGTGAAATGTGTCTGCAGTGACCCCATGGACAGGAAGGATTTGCTTTTTCTGGCCAGTAAGGCCTTGCAGGCTGATGTCTTGCTTGCAGCAGACACAGGGCTCTGTCTGCTGAGGTCTTGGTGCACCACACTAGCCTGGCTTCCCAGCTCCCAGCCAGTGGCAGCAGACAGGATTCCAAGTCTGGCATCTCGCACACCTCTTCCCAGCAGTGCTTGTGCAGGCACAGAAAATGCCACCACTGGGTCTTCAGAAAGCTTGAAAACCATCTTTAAGTCGCCTGGGACAAATGTGTGTTTTAACTTGGGCTGGCCAGTTTTGCTTTGCATTTTTAGGGCAGGTGTTGTCCCAGAGCACTACAAACGTTGCTTCAACCCTGAACGTGTTGACATAAGCTGTTGTGCAAAGATCGTGTCAGCAGAAACGCCCAGTCAAGCACCAGCTTTTAAAGTTGCTACCTTTTAGTACTAATAAAGGATGTTATTGCTTCCTGAAGGAAGAAACTACTGAAGTAAAGGGGTGCTCTGAATCTGGGGAACAAAAAGCCATCTCCTTGAACCTATTATCTCACTGGGGATGATGGGGACTTTGATAGGGGACAGGGAGTTAATCCTTTGCAGCCGCCATCCGTGTTCTCCACACCAGTGTCGCATTTCGTAGTTGTAGACTTCATCTGTAAATCCTACAAGGATTTATGGTTAAGCCCAAAAATGTGGGACCATAGGAAAGGACCATTTAGAAAGGCCTGCTTGATTTTTCATTATATAAACCCCCAACATTACAGTGCAGATGAACCTGCAAATGTGATAATTTTTCATCCAAATTGCTTTCCTTTCAACCTTCCTTTGTAGTCATCCTTGCCTCTACCTCTTTTTTTGTGAATGAATAAGAGCATCTTATAATGAAATCTAGCCTGAATATCAGGCTCTTCCTATATGAAAATCGGAAAAATAAAGCCATATAGTAACAGCATTTGTGAGTATCAGAGAAGAGAAAAAGATTAGCATCATCCGTATCTATTTAACTATCAAAACACATCAGAGAACACATAAAATCTTCTGAATTGCTTCAATTAAATCAATAAAAGAGGCATCACTTAGTGGGTTTTGTCTTTCACGGATGTGATCCAAGCTGTTATGTTCAATTCTGATTAATAGATTTCTTTGCTTCTTTTTATTAAGCATTTAACCAAAAATGAAAGTAGGACCCTATCCAGCCCAAACACCAATTAGCTCATTCGTCCTGGAGCTAATTGGTAAAATTATGCCAGCATCTACATCAAAACCACCACATTTATTAAAATAATGTCAAAATCAGTTGCTGCAGAAACAGCTGAAATCACATGAAGTCAGAACCCTCTTGCCACAACACATCCCAAACAGAAAAGGAAACAGCATTGAGGAGCAAGGTGAAGCAGAAATGAGAGACACCTGGCAGATACACCCCTAAATGTAATCTTTGGAAATATATTCAGATTTTCTGCAGATCTCCACACCCACCTTGATTTCTTTAAAAGTGGCATACCCCATTTTCAGCTTCTTGTAAAATCTGAGCACTCATTTCAATTCCCAGCCAGGCCCATGGGCTCGGTGGGGAGAAATGCCTGGCAGCTGTAAAGCCCCTCAATGCCATTTGCATAAAAGAGCTATGAAAGTTTTAGGAGGAAAAACACTCAGGTAGGCACCTGGATTAGCCCAAGCTCTCACGATAGGAGCAGTTTTTGAACAAGAAACAGCAAAGAAAAATACAGAATTGAGAGGGCTTCTAAGCAGGAGCCCTTTCCTCTTGCCCTGCTACTGAAAAGACATGGACATGGCCACAAAGGGCTCTCCTGGTCTCAAAATCACAAATGTGACAGGCCCATCCTTGCCGTGGCACAGGAGAGACCCCAGCAGACCTGAAGTCCTATTTCCCTTCTGCCCTCCCTGGGATGTGCTCCAGCATCCCAAATTTTGGGTAGTTGCACTGCCAGCAAAAACAGCTTGGTGCCAGCATATCTCCCAAACACAGAGCTAAGGGAAAAAACGAGTCAACGAGTGACTCAGAGGGTGTGTGTGAGCACAGGATCCCTCAGGAAAAACCACTCGTGTTTCCTTGCAGCTGTCAGAGCCATGGCTGCAGCAGGGGATCACTGGTGGGAGCTGAATGGTGGAAAGCCACTATCCAGCTCACAAGGTTAATTACCCGCCTGGGCAGCTGGCTTTTAGCAGAGCAGGTGGACGCACACTAATTGGGACAAAGTGAGAGGATTTTTGCAGGAAAAGAGGGAAATGAGAAATCCTTGCCAGGAGGAATTCATATGACAGAATTACAATTTCATGACAGAAATATAAATTTTACCCTACGCATACTCTTCTCCAGACTTCATCCTGGTCTTCTTGTGGAAAATTCTATCTCTAATCAAATGTGTCTCTTCTGCAGAATAGGAGACTGTTTGCAATGGCAATTCCTTCCCAGGGAACAGGGCAGCACCTGGCAGAAGTGGATGCTTGAAACAATCTGAGTGAGTTTACAGAGAGAAGAGGGTAGCTCAGCCTCTATGACTGCTCAATTACAGCTGCATGGGAAACACAGAGATTTATTTTGTCTATGAGATGACACATAGTGCAGTTCAGATCACAGGCGTAAACACAAAAGCAGAAGAAGGAATCAACATCCTGGACTAATTTTATCATGGCTGTGACTGATCATGACATCCTGTGTGTGATTGGGAGCATTTGAAAGGCCTCCAGGGTTTTCCTATGGAGCTACTTGTATTTGCACTTGGCCTTTCTATCATTTAATCAGTGTGAATATTAAGCCTGGAGAACTCGCAGGTCTAACAGCCTGAGGAATTGCCACATTTGGACTCACACCCACTAATTTATTTGCTTTAGGGTCAGAAGAGCCTCTGAGTGTTACTGGTGACACACTCTAGCACAACACGGTGCGTGATCAGTGTCTGTAAATGGGTGAAATAGCGCTCTGCTACTCATCTAAGGGTACAACAAACTCCCACAAAATGGCACAAAGCTTCATCAACTGCCCTATAGACGATGGCAGTGAATTAGTTTTAATCATGTTCTCTCAGCCACCTCCAACAGCATAAATTTGGGCTGCCTTCATAGGCAGCTGTGAGGGGGTGCGAGGTTTTCTCCTTGTGCTTGGGCAACATCACAGTTTTACAGATAATTTCTTGAAGAGTTTTCTCCTTGAAACCTCTTTGAGAGGTTTGAGAACCAGGCATTCTTTGATGCTGTCCTGTGTACTTATAAAGTATTTGATGTATATACAAAATTGAATTTCCCTGGATGCAGCAGGAATCAGGAAAGGAGCCATCAGTCTCAGCCTCTCTCCAGGTATTACTTTCCTGAGGCCATGCAACAAATGCTGCCCTTGCCACCTTTGAGGTTTTCTCCTTCAGGCTCCGAGAAAGGGGTCAACATGGAAAGTATGACCAAGACCATTAAGAGTTTATTGCTTGGCAGTAGCCTGCAGGCTTTTAGCCTGATTTTAGTTGTGAATTAAAACCTGTTGGAGGCAATGGTCTCGTATCAACTATTTTCTTGTGGGTGTGGAAGGAAAGACTAGATCAACATCTTCTGATCTTTCCCCATGGAGGCCTTTGCTTTACTGAACTGAACTTAAAAGCTAGAGAAGTTTCCATTACATGAATAATTAAACCATGAGATTCATTATCACAGGCCACACCTGAGGACATGAATTTAGTAGCAGTCAGAAAGGATTTAGACTTTTGTAAGAATAGCAAAAGTACACAAAGCTACAGATAAAGCACAGCTAAGTATTTGAAAGGCATAGTAAATCTTGCCATGCCAAACTTGGCCAAATCTCTGTTAAAAATCAGAAGTTGCTAGTCACCAGGGACAAGGAGTAAATTCTCTCTGTAAATGTCTGTATGACATCAGTCTGGCATTTGCCCACTCTGTTGAAGCAGCTGTTTTATCCTTGATGCCAATTGTAACCCAGCAAATGGGCCAGATATTGATGCAGATTTTTAGGACACTTTTCTTCCAAAAAATTAACATTGCATTTTCATGTCCACAAAATCACAATGAAGTCAAAGAAAATTGTTGCTGCTTTGTAGTTAAGATGTTTAGTACCATGAATATTCACTGTTAATTCAAGAGCTGGAAAAAAATTGTGATCAAAAGGTGTATGTGCATCACAGAACTGAGTGTTGAAAGACAACGTGTGACTGAAAGGAGCTATTGTTAGCAATAATATTTGCATTTTTTGAACTCTTTCCATTTTGGCTCTTTGAATGTCACATGAGCATCAGTGACTTAAATCTCCCAGAAGCTCTGTGAAGCAGGACAGCACTGCCTTCTGCTTTACAAGCAGAGGAGGCAATGTCCAAGTGCTTGCAGCAAGGCCTCTCATTCCCAATGGACACAAAGAAGGGGTTTTCTAAACTGCTGCGTCATGTGTTTTAGTATACATGTCAGCAAAGTGGCTACAAATCTGTCTCACTAATGCTGTATGTTTGCATCCAGCTGTTGATTAATAGGAGAATTAAATCAAACAAAAGAACCCCTAGATGGAAGACTTAGATCTCTTCTTCTGAAAGCCTAGGAAAGGACTTTCACGACTCATCCAAATCAGAGGGAACCAAGACTTCAGAACTTGTGTCAGAGGTCTCTCTACTTCTGTGCTGACTAAATGCCAATTTTCCATCCTTCAGGAGAAACTCAGGTGTCCTGGTGCAAGGGAACCTGAGGACAGAAGAGCAGCATGTCCCCAAAGCCCCAGCTCTGCTCAGCTGCTCTGAAATGCCAGACATGGACAACCCAGGGTCGGGGGAGTTAGGATAATGCTGGTAAAGTGAGGCTGCAAAAAGATCAGGGAGAAGGAAATAAGGGGTTGAACAATGAAGAGCAGCCAGTTTGCATACAGAATTCTTCTGTACTTGTGTGCTGTTCAGTAGAGCTGGCTGGTGTGTGGTGAGGGACCATCTCTTTGCCCACACCTGTGGCTTTCATGACATCTCTGAGTCCTGTGCTTTTGCTGCACTCCCCAACTTTCCCATGCCAAAATTTGGGCAGTTTTTTCACCCCAAGTGGCAGTATTTACAGAACCTCTCTCCACTGTCCAGATGCTTTTTTCATGAAATGTGTCTGAGATGGCCTATCCCTCTATTATATTGTTGCAATTGGACAAGAAATCCCATATTTATTGAAGAAAAATACGTTCCCCATGCAATGGTGTGAAACAAGCTTCAGCCCCAACCACCTTCCTTGTTTTTTCCTAACAGTAGGTGAGAATGAAGAAAACCACTTTTTAACTTTTGTTCATCATCAGATTGACAAGATGTAGAGTGCTTTTAACTTCCTGATCCATTATAGACATAATGGATAATGAAGAACAGGTTATTTATCCACATTTCTCCTTATCAGATGCCTTCAGGTATTACATATTTGTTGGTCCAAACATTTGTAAGACATTTGGAGCAGTAAGCCACGGTCCATGAGGGTAAATGTTAATTACCACCTAGAAATGCTTCATCCTTGCATGCCCACCTTCACCCCATCACCAAGCAGCCTCAGGGCAGGTGGGAACATAGGGCAACAATCCCATGTGAGATAACTTGTCTGGATGCAGCCTTGATGTTTCCATATTGAATGGTGTGTTTCACCTTGGAGAAGCAGAATGCTTTGGGTGATTTGCAATCTTAGTTACAGACTTAATTATCTAAGGAAAGATTTTTCTGCTTCAAGAACTCTCTTGGCCAGCTTAAAAATCTGATCTTTTTCATGAGGTGATTTAGTTTTAACTGCAAATCTTCATGGGTGTCTCCTGAAAAAGACCAAAGAAATATTTAGTTCAGCTCTTCCAGAGTGACAGCATGGATCATGGGGTTACTGGAGCTCCCAGATACTTACTTGCAGAGGTGATCACTCCAAGCCTGGTACTGAATTCTGCATGGTCACCTCCATAGCTCAGTACACATGTGACTCCAGGGCAGGCAGTGGTCTTTTTTTCTTTTTTTATCATTTTATATAACCTTCCTGAATCACAACAAGCTGCCAAGTCACAAGCCTTTCTGGTTTACTTACCCCTCAAGTACCTCTTGAAACGTTAGAGATACACCCCAGAGCCATTGCAGTGATGCCACAATCTGATTTGCACAATCTTTCCAATCAGTGTAATAATCTTTGAAGGCTTCTCAGGTCTCATATCTATCGCAAGAGCCTAGAGGATCCCATAGGAGAAGGAAAACGACGCTCTGGGAGCTGAGGAGGGCTCGCAGGCGGCAGGAGCAACAAGTACTCCGTGGCTCCCTGAGGAGGACGACCCTGAAGAGGACTGCTAATATGGGAAGTAGAATAGGAACTGCATAAGTGCTGCTTAAATTGTATCTAGAAAGTATAAGTGGGACTTAAATGATGAAAGTACCTTGAGCGCAGCAATGAATTTTGCCCCTTGCAAAGAGCTGGTGATCAGAATAAATGTGTTACTACAAGATGAGGACTTAGGAGAAGTTTGATGACAAATTACAGCTTATTTGCCGAGAATTTGTGAACTTATATGTACAGAAATAATTTATTAAGTTATCTGGAATGAGCCACTTGAACAGCCCTAGGATGAAGGATTATTTTCAGAATCAAAGCTGTACATCTGTTGTACATCCACATGTGCTGAAGCTGATCATTGCTTCAGCTCTGTTGTATCTTTCTTCTAGGTGGGTGAAGCAGTCCTTGAAAATGCTCGTCTTATGCTGCACACCGAGAATATTCAAGCCTGTGCTGAAGATTTCAAAGACAGGTAGTCCTGTGGTGCCACCCAGCTGGCCACTTTCTTCAAACTTTGCCTTAGTGAACACTTAATTTGTAAGGATGTAATGCTATGGAGTAGAATGGGCTTGTTTTCAAAGTTGCATATTCATATTCAACACCCTGATTTGGGAGAAAAATAGCAATGGTGCTAACATTATTTTGGAAGATTTTGAAGATTCATAGTAACGAAAATGTGCACAAGCACAACCAAAATGACCTAAGCTAGTCTTAACACAGACATTGGTCTCTCAGTGAGAGGCCAGTATTCATTCAAAATTGAGTTGGGATTTTATAAAGGCAAAATTCCATGTGCTTTTTAGTTGTAATTTTTAGTACTTCTGTGCCAAAACCAAGTGGTTTTGGAAGTAACAATCATTCTGCTACAGCCGCAAAGTAAAACTGCACCACTACAGACATGGGTGGAAATGTTAGACACAACAACAGAAATGGGCTGTGCTGATTTCCCTTTACTGAGAAAAATAAGAAACAAAAGAAGATGTTAAACATTGGCAAACTACTTTTTTTATTGTCTTTCTGTTTGAAAAGCCTGATAGTCATGTGTATGAGTGCATGAACCTCTTTAGATTTTACTCAGGAGATGTGATCCTTCTAGCTTTTTATACTCATAATGGTCTCATTCATTTACAAATAACTTTTTTGCAAGCTCTGACACAAAAAACACACTTCAAATTAATTTATTTTTATCTCCTATGGCTTATCATCCCTTAAACTTTTTTTTTCTCTCTCTCTGGCATTATTTTATTTAATCATAAAACCAAAATGTGTTAATCATTCTTAAGTTTGCCTTTTATTTCAGAAAGGTACAACTCTGAGATACTCATTTGGCTTTACATCCAGCAAGTTACATTCATATTTTATGTAGTTTTAAAAAATACTTTTTAGAAGTGTCAGCTGATTTGGATGAGCAGTCTACATAACAAAAACAATGTTGAATCAATCTACTGCATAGTGAAAGCTCCTGGGATCACTCTCCCAAGCTTTAAACTCCCAGCATTGAAGGTGGTTATCAAGGAGCAAAGTGTTTATGAAGCAGGTTCCCAACTAACCTGCCAGCCCCTCCAGGCCCCCAGGTTGGACGGGTTTGGCACAAATGTCTCCCACCCAAGGAAATTCACAATGCAATCCAATTTCAATGGAAAGCCTAAACCAAAAAGTTACAAACAAGAGCAATGCAGCAAGCAGTGCTCTGGAATAGAAAGTTCTTGCCAAAATCCCCCTACCATTACAGCCATAGTTTGGAAATGAGCCGTTTGTTCCAATAGCAATTTTAGCTGACAAACCAACCACAGAAATTTCCTTTTTATTTTGATAGTGCTGGGATTTGGTCTTAGGAATGGGCCAGGACCCTGGAACATCGGCCAGACTTCCATCAGCTTGTCTGTTAGTAAAAATAATGCTTGATGTTTTTTCTTTAACCATTACTCTAAAAGGTTTTTGTGTAGACAAGTGAGTAGGTATTCTCATTTTACAGCCAAGACTGTAAATGCCAACTGAGAAAAAGCCACCCATGGTGATACTGTAGATAAATATCAGATCTAGCAAGAAACCATGAGCCTCTCCCTGCTTTTTCTGGAATCCTATCAGGTTGATAACCACCATAGCACATACTGCTAACTTGGCCTGTTTTCTTACACTCTGAATTAATGACAGGGCACTCCAGGCAGTTAACTTCAAGTACAAAGAGATAAGGTGAGAGCAAAGTATACTGTCTGTGTTTCTGTGCCTCTGTCTGGGACATGTTCGCTAATTAGCAGAAATAGTATTCAGAAAAAAAAGGGACAGGTTTTACTTGCTGAGTTGTGCTGTGTTGAAGTTTGGCTTTTTTTTTTTTCCATTGCAGGTATGAAAATGAGCAGCCATTCAGAAAGGCAGTGGAAGATGAAATTAATTCCCTATATAAAGTGATTGATGATGCTAATTTAACTAAAATGGATCTGGAGAGTCAGATAGAAAGCATGAAGGAAGAACTAGCTTTGCTGTCAAAGAATCATGAAGAAGTAAGTGCAGACTCGGGATACTGCAAAGCCAATGTGTGCCTGTTTCATCTGGTTGGTATCACATATCTAGTGCAAAGCAAACATTAAAAACTCCACCTGTGTCTGTGCAGGGGGGGGGATTTTCCTGAAACCTACTCCTATTTCTTCCTTCTCTTTTAACTCAGAGGACTAACCTGTGTGGCCTTATCAAATTACTTACATGTAGGTGTTAACCCTTTCTTGTTTGATAAATGTGATGTGGAAGAGATGCCATCCCTTCATTTCTTGTCAGACACCAATGATGGTCAAGGGGCTGCACAGTCACACACATGGGTATCTCAGCAAGAGATCTGATGGAAGGAGAAAGTGCATGTGCTGTGTACCAGCTCTGGTCCTGCTGCACTAATGTTGAGCATTTACCAGGTTCTTATGAAAATAAGCTGCTTGGCTTAGCAAGGCACTCAGTTCCCAAAACTGAATTTCTCTTGAAAAGCACTGAAGAAAGTCACAGGGTCAGCAAGAGATCTGATGGAAGGAGAAAGTGCATGTGCTGGGCACCAGCTCTGGTCCTGCTGCACTAATGTTGAGCATTAACCAGGTTCTTATGAAAACACCCTGCTTGGCTTAGCAAGGCACTCAGTTCCTAAAACTGAATCTCTCGTGAGAAGCACAATACTGAAGAAAGTCACAGGTACAGTGGCATGAAGGAATGACTCTAAAGAATCATCATCAAAGGTGCTGGCAAAATCAGGTTTCATATGAGATGTGAAAGTGCAATTTAACTTTGATGGCAAGGTTCATTTTATTACTTACTATATAATGAAGCTCACAAAGGAAAATTGGATTAGAATCAATCTAGAATAATTTACCTGGAAATCGGGGATGTAGAGGGTAAAGGTGCTAAAGAATAAAGGTTCAAAAGGGTTAGGGGAGGCCCTCCCATTGAGTCATGAGGCTAAGAGCAGACCTCCTTTCTTTCTAAACTCCTGATGGAGATTAGATGCAGCTGAGCCCAAACTCGACCTCAGACTTGGCCAATGGTTTATAACTATAGGATTTGTCAGCACCTGATCACTGACTAATTTAACATTTACAAAATGATCCAATAGGTTTTCCTGTAAGTGCAGCAGTAACTTAACGGTAGATCTGGGATGGCAGTATTCATACTATTCTTGCTATAGGGTATTTAAACCAATTCACACACTCACACAAACAGACATGAAGAGGTTTGTTCAAAGGTGCCTGTTAAAAATTTCCTTCAAGTTCAGTGCAGTACTCAAGGTGGATGCTTCTGCATCTCAGAAGCACCAAGTCAGATGCTTCTGCATCTCTCAACAGGTGAGGGCTGAGCCTTGAGGGGTAGTGGGGATACCCCATCAGCATTTGGCAACAAGTATTGAATATTGCAAACTTGAGAGCTTGGTAGCTCTGAGAGGTGTCCCAGTCAGAGGGAGATTGCTGCTCACAACCCACTGCAGTCCAGTTCTCAAGGGCCTCACTCAGGACTACTGTTTATAGAGTGCCAAGATGATTGGCTCCAGTCATTTGTCAATCTCCATCCTGGCTGTAATCCAAGACGGTAATTACTGGAGATTTCCTCAGAAGTCTGGTAACAAAAATATTGTTCCACTTGAGCTCTGATTCAGACAACTAATATTCCAAGTTTATGCTAGGATAGCTGACTATCTCTCCCCCTTCCTTAGTTAGGCACCAGAAGCTCCTAGGAACAGACAGTGTTTCTGATAAACACAAGGGAAACTTAATTGTCCAAAAGCCATTGATTGACCAAGGGTGAGGTCTATAAAGAATTCCTGAATCCACAGAGAGGCCCCAGTGGGTGGGGACGATGCACCACCACAGACAGGCAGCCAGAAGAGAAGCTCATACTACCCATTTTTGCAATACTTTCCCACTTACTCACTGCATTCACCAACACTATTTGCATGAAGGTGGTTTGCTTCCTTCAGCAGGGATTTCAGGATTGAATACAAATCAGCATCTTTATTCATGGGGACTTGAATATGGAGCTGTTACTAATCCCTCATAAGGGAGAGCAAGCAACTGTGCTGATGCCTCAAAAGTAAGATAGAGCTTGAATTGTGATGGCTCATGAAAGCAAGGTACTATCCTACCTTAAATTTCTTACCAGTTGTTCCTCCAACCACAAGATTTCAGCAACACTGGCTTGCCAAGATGAGGTTGCATCACCAGCTCCCCACTTGCATCAGTCTAATTCCAAGGCTGGCATTTTGCAGAAAATAACCATTGGCTTCATTACCAGGAAGAGAGAAGAAGATTGAAATTGTTTCATATAAGAGGGTAAAGAGAAAAATTGTAGAAATAAACAAGATCTTCTTTAAACCTCCAAGTAAAGCAATGACTGTTGTGAAACCAGAAAAACTGGTGCTGATGCTGTTCTCTGTCTGTAGCTATGGCATAACGAGAAAACCACCTTGATCCATCTTGATCCTCATGTAGCCAGCAAGGAGCCCTTGCAGAGTGGAAAGATGCTTTTTTCTTTACCTTTTGGGAGTACCTGAGCATTTGCAGAACCACTTCAGCACACGCCTGGTTTTCCCATGGCAGCAGGACCTGGGGAAGCTGCTTAAGAGAAGTCACAGAATAAAGGCTAGAAGTAACTATTGCTGAGCTCTGGCAAAATAAAGTCCCAAAGACTTTCCTGAACTAACTCAAACCTTTCTTTCCATTGGTGCTCTCACTAGCAAATCCATGCCAAGTCCTTTTGAAGGTTTTGTGAACTTGGAGTGGGCACATTTTGAGGTTTGCATTTTTGCAGGTTCATAATTCACATAATTCCCATCCATTTTTTCCAGTATTGTCACTGTCAGGGGCCATTTCTACAAATACAATTCCCAGATGCTTTTACACTACCTTTTTCTGTTCCAGTAACACAAACAGGCTGATATAAAAGGATTGCAGTGCCAGACAGTTAAGATACATGTGAAAATCTCATTAATTCTTTTGTTCCTGAACACGATGTACAGCTGATGTGCTACCTTTAAGTAATTCTAAACCTGCTAATTCTCTAATGGTTACATATTTTTGGAGCACTTAAATTTAAAAAAGAAACAGAATGCTGCCACAGAGGAGAATCCTCTTGATCTAACATGCACATGCATAAAACACAGATTTGTCTCACACAAGCTGCGAGGCTGTAGAGCTCCTGCTGCTTTGCACATCTTGTATCTTCCAGTAGATGCTGGAAGGCCCATGCTCCTGCATGGTGCAGCAGCAAGTTTTTGATATCCTGTAAGCTGTTAGTTCCTTGGCCCAAACTCCACACTGCAGCTTTACTGGCAATGCTTGTAGTGATTTCAGATCCCAGCTGTGCAGAGTGCACGTCTCAAGCACTGGCTGCTGGAGAAACTTGCCACTGTTGAGAGGCTGCTCCAGGCACTGCTTTGGTGCAGGGCTTCAGTCTCCTTCCACCAAGGGGAAAACTCTTCCAGCACCCTAGATCTGCAGGAAGAGACCCCATGCAGAAGCAAGGCAAATCCACATCTGAAAAATAAACCCGTCAGTGCACTAAATCATCAATTTAGAGATAGCTTTTGGGACCAAATTTAATTACTCTCTGTTTGTGGCACCAAAAGAGCTCTTCCTTGAGCTTCTCTGAAGATACCATTCACTTGTCCAGTTCACTTTCTTTATGTTTGTTATTTTTGTTCAAGGATGTGAAGGTATTATACAAGCAGCTTGCTGGATCTCAGCTGGAAGAACTTGATGTTCCTCTGGGAAGTGGCCTCGATGACATTCTGGAAAAAATCAGAATCCACTGGGAGAGAGACATTGAAAAGAATCGTGCTGAGACAGGTGCCCTGCTCCGTACCAAGGTCAGCACTCTGTAACCCACTCCAACATCACAGGATATCAAGCAAACACAAAATCTCTCTAATATTCTGCAATATCTTAGAGGGTTGGGTGTTTTTTGGGTTGTTTTCTTTTTGAAACAGAAAAGATGTTAAAAATCTAAAGTATTTTGGTCCAAGTCCAAAGGAGAATGCACTTATAAATATAAAGGCCTTCTTGGGATGCACAGAGTTAAGCACTGGTGGAAATGGCCCTGCTCATATCACAGGTATCTGTGGGAGCCTTTCAAGGGCTCTGAAATGTCGGCTAAGGAAAACAAACTTAATCAGTTGATACCTTCTGTATAGGATAAGCCACTGTTATTACCCTTCTTACTAGGGCTGTTCGTCCACTTAATAATTTACAGGGGTCTATAAATAAGAATATAGACATTGCCCTCTACACTACGGACTCCTTGGTTTCTCCCTGATACTGTTTCCTCTGGCAGCAGTGGGAAACCTAGATATTAACTTAGAAATGAAAAGTGATGATGATAACCATTCCCTTTAAATAGGGGTTCTCCTCTCCTGATGCTGAGTCTGAAACAGCCTTTTAATGCAGCTTTTTCTCTGTCATGAAGGATCACTCACTTTCCAAAGTTTCTGGCTGAAGTAAGTATTTTTGCACAGCTGAGACATTAAGTTCAGTGGATGATCCTGTATGTTAGAAGCCATCTCATTCTGAGCCAGCTCTTACAGCAGAGCATGACAGGGTAAATCAGGAGAGCAACAAAGATGGTGAAGGGCCTTGAGGGGAACCCTGGTGAGGAGTGGCTGAGGTCACTTTGTTTGTTCAGTCTGGAGAAGAGGAGGCTGAGGGGAGACCTCATTGCAGTTTGCAACTTCCTCGTGAGGGGAGAAGGAGGGGCAGGCACTGATCTTTTCTCTCTGTTGATCAGTGACAGGACCTGAGGGAATGGTCTGAAGCTGTGTCAGGGGAGGTTTAGATTGGATGTTAGAAAAAGGTTCCTCATCCAGAGGGTGGTTGAGCACTAGAAAAGGCTCCCTATGGGAAGTGGTCACAACAGAAACCTGACAGAGCTCAAGAAGCGTTTGGACAATGCTCTCGAGCACGTGGTGTAGCTCTTGGGTATGGATCCTGTGCAGAGCCAGGAGTTGGACTCGATGATCCTTGTGGGTTTCTTCCAACTCAGCATATTCTGTAATTCTGTGAAATCATAACTGCAGCAGTGCTGTTGAAGTACTTAGTAAAACCATATAAAAGTATGCCCCCTGTTCCAAGGTAAAGAGCTGCCATGAGAGATGTAGGGGGTATTGAAGGCAAACAGTGAGAAAAAACAACAAAACCAAGAAATATGTTTGCAAACACATGTGCAAGCTCTGAGTTAATTTTCAAAATAAAGAAGAAAAATCCTGTGACAACAGTGATACCAAAACTGCTAGGAAATATACAAGAAGCCAAGCAGAGGGGTTTATTCCAGAGGTCCCATCAAGTTTGTCAGAATGCCAGACTTATTAAGCAAATTTTTCATAAAGTTAGTCTGTGGGGTCTGATTTTCAGCTCATGCAGTCCAAAGGAAGTGAGTGACACAGTAATAAACTACATGAGCCTGGACAGTGCCTCCATAGAAAGCACATGCAGCCCTGAAAAGCCAGGGCATCCTCAGTGGCCTCTTGAGCTTTCCCCAGAAAAATCTGTTCCTGACCCACTGCCAGGTTGCTGCAAAATGAGCATCACTCTGATGGCACCATATTCTTCAGTGCTCCCACTTCCCTGTCCTTCTTGTTCCTCCTCCTTCTTCTCCTGTGCAAAAACACCCTAATAACTTCTTTCTTCCTATTTCTTTCATACCTTCAATATCTGGTCTTTTAGCTCCTCAAAGATATCATTTGGGGAGAAAATTGACAGCTCCTAGTACATTGCTCTATCATGTCTTTGATACCCAGCCTACCCCTACTCAGCCATCTTAGCCTAAGCTCTTACTAGTTTCAGTTTTGGTTTGGTTTTTTAATTGAATAAAGAAACAAAAAACATCACAGATTTCTGGAACAATTAGTTCTGGTTCTGCATAGATTCTGGTAAGACATTCTAGGGTTTTTTCCTATCATGTCTTTGATACCCAGCCTACCCCTACTCAGCCATCTTAGCCTAAGCTCTTACTAGTTTCAGTTTTGGTTTGGTTTTTTAATTGAATAAAGAAACAAAACATCACAGATTTCTGGAACAATCAGTTCTGGTTCTGCATAGGTTCTGGTAAGACATTCTAGGGTTTTTTTCCCCCACAAATTAAACCCAGATGATCCGGTTTTGTGTCCCTTGTCTCCTACAGACACAGATCAATTCAGATTACTGCTATGGATACAGATGACAAGAGTTTAGCTTTTATCAACTAAACTTATGGTTTTAAATTGTCTTTTGTGGTTAAGTTGTACCACTTGGTTGTCCACACAGTGAAAAACTTGCTCTTGCTCTTTTGTGACATCACAGGAGGGAGAGCAGTTCCCCGCAACCTTTTGCTCTTCATTACCAATTTTTTCAGTGTGTCTCTGTGAGGTTTTCCTTGGCCCCTAATATTTTAATTTCCTTTTTCTGCACCTACTCTCTGGTGTGCCTGTGACCAGCTCAGACCAAGATGTTTCAAATTATGTCCTAGCACTGACTTAGACATGAGGGCAGTAGTTTAGTATTTTTGTTATTTTCTGACTAATTACCTTGCCTTATTTGCTTTGTCTTGTGATGAGATTTGCAGTGTTGGCTCAATTTTTCAAGGACATTTGGGCACCAAAACACACCAATTTAAATTCATACCTAATGGGGTTTCACTTGGGCCTTTTTTAGATGAGTAACCTCAAAACTCAAGTCCATTGTTTTCACCTGTGCACTTTTTTGTCTGTAGTGGTCAAAATCTTTCCCCAAATTGACACAAGTAATTCAAACCCTTGCAAGACATGCATGCTATTTAATATTTTTCCCTGGAAAGATACTTCACTTACTGATGTGCAAGACATGCATGCTATTTAATATTTTTCCCTGGAAAGATACTTTACTTACTGATGTGCTGTTCTTTCATGTAATTTGATTCCAAACATCCACCCCTGCTCATTGCTGATCTGTATGGTTTTCTGTCATCCATAAATCCTTCTAATTCATGCTTTATTCCCAATGCAGTAGACCTTGAGGCATCAAGCTGTTAAGTTTCTGTCTTAATGGAGCTAGACCTTCATGTTCTGTCTCTTGAACAGCTGTTGATCCATGGAAAAGTTCTGCCCTGAGCACACAAATACACAGCTTTCTCTGTTGTCCTCATAAAAGGTTCTGACAAAAATTTGTGAATTATGCCAGTTGTTTCTCCCTTTTTTGCTACTTTGCTAAAACTGTCCCAGAACACTCAAGAGCTTTTCAAAGTAACTTTCATTCTTTAGATACCACCCTGGTCAACTCTGTGTGGTGGTGTTCCATTCCTAACCATTCTTTCATTATCTGGATTCCATGAAAAACAGACTAATGAGGGATCCTGCACTCATGTACAATGCTTGGCTCGAGATTGTACAGAGGTCTGAAATCCACAGACTCCTAGAAAACTCAAGCACCAACATGATAAAGACTTAGGAATATGATTTCATCTTCTCCCTCCATTAATCCAGTTGTTTGTAGTCACCACATGCATAGCCTTTCCCTTATAGAGCATCTCAGAAATAGGAAAAATCCCCAGAAAACATGAATTGCCTAGTGAAAAGGACACACAGACTACTTCTGCACTTCTCCACAGAAGGAGCCCCAAAGCTGAGGCCAAGTGTCATGCCCAGCAGCACCCCACACACGGACACTTGGGGCTGGTAACCCTGTGAGGAGGGTGGGGAAACCTCGTGTGTCCCACAAGCTTTAGAGCGCATTTGGCGTGTGCTCACTTGCTGTGTCCTCCTCGGTGTTCAGGACCTGATGCAGCCATCTCCATCTACTCCATCCGCCTGTTCTCTTGTTCACAGCACTATGGTCAGGTTCACAGCTTAGGGTAGCTCCTGGAAGGGTTTCAATGCCACCTGTGTTGAGGGCAAGCTGGATTTACAGGTAGCATTTGGGCCACCAGCAGGGTAAACGTCAAAGCCAGGCTTCAGGTAATGGGTGTAGGCCATAAATGTAAATGCAAAGGCACCTTCCCTTCCCTGTGTATCTCTTTAAAAAGAGGCATTTACAGTCCTCGTAGCCCAAGAAGGTGTGAGACACAATTTACTGAAGAGTGGCAGGTCCTTGATCACTGGTTCACCAGGAACAGTAAGGCAGAATTATGTCCCTCTGAAGCACAAGCCCCAAAAAAGCATTTCCAGAAAACACAGGATCTGTGCAATTTGCTGGAAAGGACAGGTTTGGTGCTTGGATTGAAAATCAGCCCTCTGCAACAGAGGTTCTTAAATCTAAATTTCTGTTTGAGACTTAATTGGTATTTAAATGACCTTTTCCCACTGAGGCTATTTCATTCACAATATGCAAGGTGTGGGCTTCACATGGTAATACAAAAAAATACCTATTTTTGGTGCATGGTCCTAGATTTTTAAAAATTCAGTCTTACTTTTAAAATTAAAAAAAAAAACAGAGCAGGGTCAAGATGAAGTTTCAGAGTAGGATGGAAGTATTTTGCATAGTATAATTTTAGCATCAACCACAAGAAATGTAGGTTTTGACTGAAGAACTGGGTTTTCTAGAGAGCCCAGAGCTCTGGGCTGAAAAACCTTGATCTCAGCCCCTATTAAAAAGTATAGAAATTCTATTTTTACTAAGGTAATTTTTCCTCCACCTATTTTCAAGGAACCTGAACTAAACACATATAAACCCCCCCAAGCCGTAAGAGCAGGAAACAGCATAATTAACTTAGGACTTAATTAACAGGAATTTTTTTTTACCCCTGTGATATGACTTGCTATCTGACTCACAGACTCTTATGTGCAAAATTAAGGTGTGATTACTTCTGAAGACACATAACTTTTTAAGAAATCTTACAGTATGGCTATAAAATGAACAATTACAGCCATGTTTTCTCTTTAGAGATAATTTTAAACATACAAGTATGAATTCTGAACAGCTGTTGTTGACACAGATAACATAAATATGCTTATATGCATAAGCCATTTTGCAGTAAATGCCTAGAAATATGATAATTTTGACACTAAGAAGTATCCAGAATTATTCAGCCGAGGGATTTAATGCACAGGAATCAAACTTAAGAGTCAGAATTGCCACAAACTGTGAAAACATTACTGTCAGTTTGGTCTGTGAGGAAGCTAAACCATAACTTGCGTAGGTTGTGATGACAGTCGCCTTCTTTCACCAGCAACAGGCTGAGACGACGGCTGCCGTGCGAACCCAGGAGGAAGAGCTGGTGGAGGGCCTCAGAACCGAGTTCCATGAAACTGCCTGCAAAATACAGAGCTTGCAAGCAGAAACCGAATCTTTGAGAACCTTGGTAAGGGATGCTGGGTTTTCAGTGGGTGTATTCTCTGTGAACTCAACGCACCTCCTGAGGGGAACATTCCTGTCTTGAGACGCAGAGTTAGGAATGAATCCCATTTTCCACCAGATACTGTTTCCAGAGATGCCAGACATTTCTGGGCTCCTCTTGAATGAAATGGTGCTCTAAGTGTACCACATTTGACAGCCAGGCTCCAAATTTCCATCTTCACTGTATTTGTACCCAAGATTGCTTGGTAGTGTAGTGCTAGACAATGTGAGGAATATCTGCACCTTATAAAAGTGCAGCTATTCAACTTTTGTAATGATAATACCTAATACCAAGGTAGCTAAAGAAAGGAATTTTCAGAGTATATATGTAGGATATATATATTATATGTATATAATAGAGATATTGGCCAAAACGGAATAAAAATCACTATGAAGCATATGAAAAGTGATTGATTTATTGTTTGCTGTCCTGTCCTTGCAGAAGAGGGGTCTGGAGAACTCTTTATATGACGCCAAGCACTGGCATGACATCGAATTGCAGAACCTAGGCTCTGTCATTTCCAAGCTGGAGGCAGAGATGGGAGAAATCAAAGTAGAAACCGAGCAGCAGCAGAGGGATCGTGAAAACCTGCTGACTAGCAAACAACAGCTGGAGAAAGACATTGCTGCATATCACTGCCTCCTGGATGGAGAGCAAAGCAGGTACTTATCCTTAAAAGGATGGAGAACATGCTCCTCAGGAAGGGATTGTGAGGTTGCTGGAAGCAGGAGGACTGGGGTGCTTCTCACATTTCATAAGGCTGGCTGGTAGATGGCGAGGTTTGGAGAAGCTGCCAGAGGGGGAGAACACACCAAATCCCATCAGAGATTCCTAATGTATTGGAGATGGGTGGTTTCCAGCACTACCACAGAAGGACATGGTTTGGGAACATGCCATGGATTTCACTTCTCTGAAGGTTTGAGATGTGACATTACTACCAGGGGCTACATTAGTGGCTGCAAAGCAGATATGTTGTTGTTTCCTGATTTGAATACATTATGCCATCCTTCCTCCTCCCTCAATACAGTCCAAATATTATACTGTGATCCTGGGAAATCTCCCTGTCTAAGCTTGTAAGTTTGTCCTGAAGTCCAAGGACAGGATCTGGACCACTGACTGTACCTTTTTGAAAAAATGTTTTGACTCTTAAGATTTTTCCTCCGGGAATAACCTGTAAACACCTTTACAGTGGTTGGGTTGGGTTGCCTGGTTGGGCATTTCTAAGATACTTTATCACCCTTAGCCATGGAAACCTTTGAATCTGATCCACAGATTTTGATTTGCTCTTCTGTTCAAGACAGGGAGAATTTTACAATAATGAAATCTTGCTGAAGCTGGTGAGATTTCACCTGCTGAACTGAGGATAGGACTTGGTTCAGCAATTTTCATGTTTGTAGTAGTGACCAATTTTTATCTTTTTTTTTTTTTTTTTAAACTTTCAGCTGATTATGACTCCCAGCTCACAGAAGACCATTGCCATTAAAGCAAAAGATATCACTGCCAATTATGTTCGTGGAAGCTAAAAACCCATCAAAGCAGCCTGCTTTATTCAGTTTGATTCAACAATCAAAGTAGGTTGTAGCTTGAACAACTTTATTAGACCCTCTTCACGTAATTGCTTTGCTTACAGATTTCAATTTACTCATGTTGTTAAAATTATAATAAAAATAAAGAATATCAGGCTTTTGTTTGATTTTTTTATTTCCTTCCAGTATTTTTCATGATAGCTGGCGGGGGGTGGATTCAGAATATTGGCTCTCCACTTCCGACCAAGTTAACTCTTTCTTTTCACAGTACAAATTTATCAAGACTGAGCTACCCCTCCACTGTGCACACAGCACCCACATGGAAATAATGAGTGCTCTGTTGTGTCAGAAGACCATCAGCTCAGTAGTGGGAAATCTAATTCAAATAATGCCAAAGGAGTTTAAGTGCACCACTAACTCAATATGATTAATTTTGCAACATGTAAACCAGCAGAAGCATTAATCTAAGCATCCCAAAAGTACCTTAGAAACACATTTTTCAGTCTAGACTAAACTTCTGGAAAAGCTGAAGGTGCAGGAGAGCAACAGCAGTTCTGCCTACATCCAGGCTACATCCGTTTACTGTATACTGAAAGTCCAAGCCAGGGTATCAGTTTGTGAAAATTTGATACTTCTTGATATATTGATATATTTTTATATTTGTTTTTATATGGTTGCTCTTTCTTAAAATCAACATCTCTCCAAGGCAGGTTGGCCACACTTCTTTTGAACAGGAATCCACACAGCATCAACCTGATGGCTGACCTTAGGTTGTTTCCTGTATTTTGATGGCATCACAAGGAAAAAGATTTCTCCATCTTTCACTTTTGACTTTCTTTTACATTTTAAACATTGACAACCTCATTGTATTGCATGTGCAGTATGGTCACATAAAATGCCAAGATGGGGCTTGCCTTTTCAGAGAAACATAATGCACCTTAGCTCCTATCACAAAAAATTTTAGGCAGGTGGCTGCAGGTGGTTTCCTTCACAAGTTTCTGCACAGCGATGAAGTTAACCATGCATGTGTTTGTTGGATTGCAACACCAGGTGACAACACAGTTCATTAAATGGACTCAAACACTACTGAGAAATGGCATATATTAGAGAATACAGTGGCATACAGGACATATGAGAAGTAGACTTCAGATATTTTGATTTTTAATTGAAACATTAGCTAAGAAAGCTACTTAGATTTTAATGACTGATAAAATCAAATACTCTCTGAATCCACTAAATGTGATCCACCAGTGAATTACAGGAATAGGGACACAAGTGTTGTCATGCCTTTCCTTGTACATTCCCCCACACAGGAAAAATCCTTCCTGATGCAGCTGCTTGACAAATTATCCTTCATTTAATCTCTGCAAAAAGTCCATCTGGCATATACCACCTGCAAGGTTTTGATAAAAAATTACTGGATTAAAAGATTACCCAACAACAAAAAAAAAAACAAAGGCAGATGATGGAAGATTCTGGTGGGTTTTTTGTTTGTTTGTTTTTTTTTTCTTTCTCATATAATGTAGGCTCCTCAGAGCAGCAATAATACCTTGCAGCAATAATACCTTCTTATACATCAGGGCAGACAGAACTTACCAAGCTGAGTCTCCATCAAGAGCAGCGATGATGAGATAAAATACACACAAACAGTGAGACAAGAAATTAGATGGCACACACCCTTGGGTTGGGGATAACTGGTTGGTGTCTAGATATTATCACTTTTTGGCATGAACAGAATATAACCTCCCACTCATTCCTGACACAGAAGAGAACAATCTCCCTATGATTTGAAAGTGAAGAGGGAATTTAAAAAACATAACAATATACAATCTGGATTCAGATCCATTTGCTATCTTCTAGTGATGCTTCAGGTATGAAAAGCACCTGACTATCCCACTGTGAAACTATTCTTTATAAATGTCACTTATGGAAATAAACCTGATGAAATTCTAAGACTACAGTTATACTCAGATATGAAAGAAACATTTTTTTAAAAGTTTTTTATATGCCATGATCCATTATACCCCATTAAAAAATTAAATTAGGTTAATACTAAGATGTTTATTCATTGGAATGGAAACAGTTTCTTTCAAAATCATCAAGGTATTTCAGCACAGAGATGTTTCTGGAAAAGGAGGAAGAATCTAAGCATAAATAATGAATTTCCAGCAGCTTTTCTATCTATTCCTAGCAAAGACCGAAAAACCACAGAAATTATTATTTTTGTGAATAGTCCATCAAAAGTCAAATGCAGCACTTCTGACCCTTCTAAATCAAAGTGCTTTCATATTGAGTGCTAAAGCTCTTGTGAAGAAACCTCTCTGCACTTTTACACAGACTCCTCTGGGTGCCTAGCTGGTTGTGCAGCCCCTCCAGGATGTTTGAATGCTGTCTAAGCACTGACAGTCTTCACTGTGCGAGATGGGATATTGAGAGTGTGAGAGACTAAAGGCTTTCACAACTATTTGTAAGCACTAAGGTTCATAAACTGATTTAGCTTTATATTTATGCTCTAGTCTAGCAGTTGCTTTATTAAATACACATGAACACATTTCCAAATGGTTTTCCACAGAAAATCAGCACCAGAAAACAGCTTTTATTAGCTCCCACTGCAGTATCTCTCACACCTATATTCCTGTGAAGGAATTTGTGGCATTTTCTGTTATGAACACTCAGGATGCAGTCAGAGAGCACAGATAATACAATCTAACAGCCAGCTGCTGCACAAAAATACACCTCTGCTCCCCATCATGTGCTATGTATTCCCATTGCATAGTCTTGTGTTAGCACCAACATCTGTCCAATGTCTCAAGAGACAGCTCAAGACTCAAAATCAGCAGAAAAATAGCTCTGCAAAATGCTGGAAAACTTTCCTGACACTTGGTTTCCTGGATCCAGCCACTGCAGGGACAGACACATACCAATGACTGCACAGGGATGGGAGGGGGAGAGGAACTAGTCCAGACTGTAAAGCACAGCCACCCCCTTGGTGACAGCCAGTCACTAGGTCAGACGAGCCGTGCTCTCAAACCAGATGTGTACTTCACACTCCTCCCAGCCAGGCACAGCTTCTTCTGCACCGCAGCCTGAACCATGCTGCTGCATCCTTGGGGGAAGGAGAGGGTGCCAGCTCTATGTGAGCCCCTGCCTCATTTAAGATTGCACACTGAGCAGCAACATAACACACCAGCTAGAAACTGGTATTCTAGCCTATCATTCTGCTGTTTCTATTTTAGTATCAGAACTATCACACTGATTCTGTGGTTAAAAGATTGTTTTAAGGTCACTTTCACTCTGGCATTGTCTAAAATTCAACAGTTTAACAAACCACCATGCACTGCTGGCACCAGTGCCCACATTCAGATGGCAATCAATGGTGGAGCAATGGTGGTGGATAAAACTTCTCCCTTCTGGTTGTAGAGGTCTGAAACTACACCAGACTTGGGCTTAGACAAAGGCTAGGCTCCTACAAAGAAGTGGGCGCATGATGTGACAAGGGCTCCACCAGAACCTTTCTGCAAGCTGCTCTGCACCTAAGGGCACCTTCTCCAATCTCCAATTTTCAAGCAGGCATCTGCCCAGGAGTTACTGAATGTTCTTCTGCTTGTGCTCCGCAAATGTGAATGCAGTATGCAGTGCTGTCACCTTCATGTTACAGAATGGAGATAATTTGGTACAAAGGAAGATGAAACACTGGGAGATTGGAAATGGAAGTCTGCTCCTAACTCCTGCATCACCCACAACTCACTTCAAATTCCCTTCCTTCAATTTCTCCAAGCCAACAGTGGCTGCTGTACCACTTTCACTTTCCCTACATGCAGTAGTTCTTCACGCTTCAGGCTTTATAAAACACACCAGGACGCACAGGGAGCAGTGCCATGGCAGGACTTGTCATAGCTACAGAATGGAGAAGAGCCAGGCAAGCACCACTGTATGGGGAGGAGACAAAGTCCTCGGAGTCCTGGGGGTAAATCTGTACCTGAGCAGAGGCACTCAGAGCGCTGTGTCTTGCCAAAGGCAGGTCACACAGGTCAGTGATGCACAGTGCAGCAGGCAGCTGTGTGCTGAGCTCATGCTCCCGGCACAGCAATGTGGCATTCTGGATATGTTCCTTGCATTACAAACATCACTTCTGCCAGTCCGTGCCTGCGAGCCATTCTTCAGCCAAGTGTCCTCTATGCAAGTGTTGAGGGATGTTGAATTTGAGAAAGGAAAAGAAAAACACAAAAAATGACCTTTTTCCTGCATCTAACTTTTTACACAATAAGAATCTTAATGGTAAAAGCCGAAGCAATGCATTCACACAGAAATACAAATGCCATGCATCAGCACATTTTCACAGCTTTACATAAAAATAAAACTAGAGGTGGGAGGTAAATCCAAGCATAACTGCATAACTAATGCTTCCTTCAAGGCACTGAGACATATCTTTAAATCGGGATCTAAGCCTTCTGAGGCACAAAACATTGCTGTTGTTTTCCATGATTTCTGCTGAGTCTGTTCCAGGTTTAACAGCTGAAATGTTTCTTGGTGCACTGCTGCTGACAGGTATTAAGTTTTTAATCCAGAGCTGGGCATTCCAGTCTTACAGTACTGTGTTTGCAAGAGACAAGTGACACACATGCTAAAAGCTGCAAAAAGGCATCAGGTTCACATTCTCCAGGCTGATAATGGGACTACCTGTAATAATACAATGAAAATATTTTACCACTTGCTGAAATTCAAGAGATGATTGGCTTAGAATCAGGCACAGCACTGTGCTTAGTACATTATCTACCACAAAAGCTGAGGGACACAAACTGTCTGCTCAGTTGAATGGTATTACCAGTGCTGAGCCTGCAAGTCCCAGCATGGGGCAGTGC